TATGCAGTAAAATCATCACCCAATTATTTTCACAAGAATTAGTAGTGAATGCTTTCTCTGAAATTACTAACAGGATTGAGAAAAGTAAATTGGAACCCAATACTAGAATTTAAGAACAAATATTTATACGCACATAGTGAAGCCTGCACTGTACTATATAGAATAAATTGATCTATTAAAATTTCCAAGATATAACTTAGGTATTGCCTGAACAAAAAGTCTTACAATATTCTGTCTATTCTCCACTTGTTTAAGATGTCCCTAGATAATGTAAAACTGTAGGCACAAATTGTGCTACTCCTATAATCGAGAGCTTAGGTTTGTGAGAATATATTCAACTAGAATTATAATTTTATGTACGATGTCTAAAAAGCAATCACAGTTTAAGCTTTAGAATTTGCAAATCATTCTTTTGCATTTGCATGGTATGTCTCACCTGGAATTTCTAATTTAATGCCAAATTTAACAATAAGGTACTAGCGCAACAATCACATATGGAATCACTCTGAACGAACATAAGCTTATATCTCGTCTATGCATTGCCAGCAGTTTCTCTTGCTCATTTATTTAGTTATAAAATGAATTTATGGCATCTAATTGACATAAATGACTTGCAAGCTGCATTTGGTAAAGGACATTGACAACCTAATATTCATTAATGAGTTAAAGATGTGTAAGTCAGCTTGTACCCATAAACGAACAAGCATCACAACATTACAAACATTTTGTAATTGAATCTTATGGTTGTTTGCTATTTTAATACTTGATAAGTATTTTCTGCACGATGGAACAAATCAAAATGAACCTAGAATACAATAGAAGTAATATATGGTTTCAGATTATAGTGAGGAATTTTAAGACAAGATGGAAAAACTCTCCTTATGAATATACTTTAAGAAAGAAGTATAGCATGCATATCCGTATCTGTTTAAACAACGAAGTTTCTCAAACATTAAATTTTCCTTAAAATATAGGCAAACATTTCATTTACTCGGTTGCTAAAGACATGCTGAAGATTGATCTTGAGAGTTTAAACGAAGGATGAAGCTTAACACCAAATTCACACTGTCCATTGTCTAGATAAGCCATAGAGCAACTATTAACATTGTTGAGGATGTGGATGCAAATCAGTAACTTAATTCACAGTAACACGTTAAATATTCTGGGAGGCTGCTTAAATAACATAATAAGAAGAAAATCTACACTAAAAAGAGTAGATTTATTTTAATCAAAGAGATTAGCCATGGCTTGAATTAAAACTATAACCCAAGAGAAAGGTCTAGCCCAAATTAAATGGAGCGCTAACACACATTACTACTTGTTGTGGTAGCTCTTAATTATGAAGCAAAAAAGCCCAGCAAGAACTAGGAATCCTTAAAAAATTGATTTAACAAGAAAAATTTATGCAATATAGAAACCTACGATGGTAATGAATGATTGAAGAATTGGATCCAAGAGGTATGTCATAATCAAAGTAATAACTTAAAAATGAACAGCATTAATCCCACTCAGACCAGATAGATCCAAGTTAATGAAATTATTGCCTTCAGTTTAGCCATAATACATCAGAAGGTTGTTGCTAATATTTGTTATAAATAAAGTGTTGAAAAATAACTGATGATAGGAAGGCAATCCTAAGATCCACTGTATTAGAATTTACAACATTATTTGTATTACTTACATCTGCATTAATTCCAATTGGCATGATAGGCTACTAATGCTCGAAATTTATGTATTTTTGCAAGAGCCAGAATCAAAAATTGTCAAAGGAGGTTGGTATGAAGACGAAATTATCACTAAATTTATTTAGCACATTTTATTCTATGATAAATTAAAGTATTAGTAGTAGTGGCTGAATAATTACATCATCTAAAACTAAATAAATTCAACAACTAATATACCTACTGATAAGAGCTTAAAAATTGTGGCTTAAATTCTAAGGAGGTGGAAATTTTAGATGATTTGATTAAATAAAAAAAATCTCTAATCAGAACAACATTAAGTTCATTGTTGTGCATGCTTAAGATGTTTCACAAGACTATGCATCTTTTGCATTAACTGATGAAACATATAGTAAATGTTTGAACTTACAAAAATTGTAACAAGTACGGACGTTCACTAACATAAATAACAAATAAAACATACCAATTCAGGTATAGAAGAAAAACATTTATAGGATCTAGTTTCAGTGCTTGCCTTAATCTCCAATTTTCAATATATGCAAAAAGAATTTAAGTATTTAAGGTGATTTGAGGGATCAATCGGTAAGTGTTTATAGTCCCTTTATGATAATGAATTTGATATGTGATAGGTTACCAGGTTTAAGTTTCAGAAAAGTAGAAGATACCCATATACTAAGGTGCTTCAATCACAAGAGTGCTATGTGCGATTATAGGAGGTAGAACAGTTAACACAGTAAGGCAGACATCGAACTTGAGTAATCTCAATGAATTTAGAGAACACTTTTTTTTTAATCTTTACAATATATTTTAGCATATAATTTTTATATTAAATTTCAATCTACAAAACATCGATCACATTAACAATTGTTTGAGCAAATATTAAGAGTTATCGGCACTATCAAATATAAGAGTTTAAGTATGCAGCTCGCATATGGATATCGATTTAGATAAGATCCCCCTACACAAGGAGAGCAACTATGAAACACAATAGATGATACTAATTAATATACTCTCTCACATAACAAATACTTTATGCATCAAGACAAGCGCTACTAGATAAATATTTGTCTTTTCTTTTTTTCCGCTTCCACCAAAACAAAGGAAGACT